GGAGTCTCCTTCTCCCTCTCCCTCTGCAGCTCCCCCTGCTTGTGCTCTCTCACTGTCAAATAAGTTAAAAAATAAATCAAAAAAGTGAACAAACAACAAACAGAAAGTGAAAGATAAATACTGAGAATGGGTGGTTGCCACAGCGGAAAGAATGGGTACATGAGAGGAAGAAGTAGGTGAAGGGGATTAAGAAGTACAAACTTCCAGTTAAAAAATACAGAAGTCATGGGGATTAAAAAGTACAGCACAGGGAATACAGTCAATACGATCGTAATTACATTATACAGTGACAGATGGCAACTACACATTCGGTGAGCAGTGTGTAATATATAGATTTGTCGATTCACTACGTTGTACGCCTGAAGCCAATAAAACGCTGTCAACTATACTTCAATTAAAAAATAAAACTAAAATATATTTTAAAATCGATTTAAACAGGCCAGTCACAAAAGGATAAAGGCTGTCTGATTCCACTCATATGAACTCCCTAGAGGTCAAATTCATGGAGATAGAGAGTAGATGGGGGGGGGGGGGACCAGGGGCTGGGGACGGGAAGAGGGGTTAGGGTTTAATGGCACAGAGTTTCAGTTTTTGCAAAGATGAAAAGAGTTCTGGAGAAGGATGGGATAGTGGCTGCACAACGCTGTGAATGTGCTTAATGTCCCCTGCCTGTACACTTGAAGTGCATAAAATGGTAAAGTTGATGTTACACAGATAGACTGATAGGTAAAGTTTTGTAAAACATAGATTTTTAGAAACAGCTGTGACAGGGGAGCATGGGACAATTGAGAGAGCCCAGAGGAGGGACTTGACCTAGAGGTGGATTGAGAGGTCAGAGAAGGCTTCCTGAAGAGGCGATCTTATCGCTGCTTCAGAAATAGGCTAGGAAAGCAAAAAGGAGCAGACATTTCATGCTGTGCGGTTAGGTGCCAGAGGAAAGAGAGAAAGAGAGAGGAAGTGAGATTAAGGAAGTCAGCGCGTCTGGGGCAGTGGGTTCAAGTGGAGGCTTGTGAGAGAGGTCAGCTGGGGTTGTTTCTGCCTGCACTGGCTCCGGCAGCTTGAGGGCAGTGGGAGCCAAGGGGGATATGAGAGTGAGGGAGCTTTCAGTTTCAGACCACTCCCTTTAGAAAAGTGGAGAAGGGGGATGCCTGGGTGGCACACCGGTTTAGCGCCTGCCTTTGGCCCAGGGCGCGATCCTGGGGACCTGGGATCGAATCACACGTTGGGCTCCTGGTGCATGGAGGCTGCTTCTCCCTCTGCCTGTGTCTCTGCCTCTTTCTCCCTCTCTGTGTGTGACTATCATAAATAAATAAATAAATAAATAAATAAATAAATAAATAAATAAATAAAAAGAAAGAAAGAAAGAAAAGTGGAGAAGGGATCTAAGGGGGTGCCTAGAGGTAGAGTCCCAGAGGGGAGGCTGGGGCAGGCTGTAGGCATCTAGGAGGAACTGGGCCAAAGCCATGGCCCCTGGGGACAGGGCAGGTTGCAGCTGAGGCTGGGCGGTTGGGCACGCAGAGCTGCTCTGTTCTCTGAGCCCACTGAAGCTTTTGGGTTCATGAATTTTGCAGCCAAACAGACTGTGAGTTTCAGATTCCAGGGCTCCGGACCCATGCTTTGGGGTTCTAGTTACTGCCTGCAAACATCCCAGGGACCCAGGAGAAGGGCCCTTGAGAGGTTCCGTGATGATGGGCTGGGACAAGGGCCTGGCAGTGTCCGCCAGGGTCCCTGGTCCCCTGGGTCACCCTCTGAGCAGGGAGCAGGTAGGAAGGAGAAGAGCAGTGATCCCTGTTTTTTGAGCAAAGACAGCATAAAACCTTGGGCTTTGCAGGGCTGGAATTCCAGCTCTGCCACCGGTGATGGGGTGACTTTGTCCAAGTTACTTCCTGTCCTCCCCTTAGCAGTGCTGTGAGAGGAGATAATAGGCCTCCCTAACTCAAAGCATTGTTTCCAGGGACGCCTGGGTGGCTCAGTGGTTGAGCGTCTGCCTTGGGCTCAGGGCATGATCCTGGAGTCCTGGGATCGAGTCCCACATTGGGCTCCTTGCTAGGAGCCTGCTTCTCCCTCTGCCTATGTCTCTGCCTCTCTCTGTGTGTCTCTAATAAATAAATAAAATCCTAAAACAAACAAAAAAGGCATTGTTTCCGGAAGCATTCCCACAGGGGAGACATTTGGGCAGGGCCTGGGCATAATGGGCACCACACCAGCAGGGCCTATTGTTGGTAATAGTAATACTCGTATCTGGCAATACGGGGCAGAGCATTTGGGAGTGGGTTGGGGTTGAGCTCTTGAACATGACGACTCAGGTTCAAATTCTGGCCCAGGGGATCCCTGGGTGGCGCAGCAGTTTGGTGCCTGCCTTTGGCCCAGGGTTCAATCCTGGAGACCCGGGATCGAATCCCACATCAGGCTCCCGGTGCATGGAGCCTGCTTCTCCCTCTGCCTGTGTCTCTGCCTTTCTCTCTCTCTCTGTGTGTGACTATCATAAAAAAAAAAAAAAAAAAAAAATTCTGGCCCAGCTGCCTCCCAGCTGTGCAACCCCAGGCAAATGTCTTCACCTCTCTGTGCCTCTGCTTCTCTCCGAGGTAGGAAGACAGGAAATGTTTTCCCCTTGGGTCCTGAATTCTCAGGAACACCAAAGATAGGTAGACCAGAGTTGAACAGCAAAAAAAATAACTAACTTGAAAAAAAAATTGAAGACAGAAAGAAGTATCGGGTGAGACATTCTCAAGGAGTGCATTTCTGCTTTCGTTGCTGTGATATTATCCCCATTAGACACCAGCGAGGAGGGGAGTGGGTAGTTCTGATAGCAGCTGCCACCCTCGCCTCCCTCCCTCAGTCCCTGTGGGGACACCCTCCCCATCCCCAGAGGCTGATAGAGCGTGGGGCTGGGTTTTAGAAGGAAGTATGAGGTCTGGGAGAGCTGAGTGTCCCCAACCCCCCAGGCCCTTTGAGCCTCTCCCTCTCTTAAGCACGATCAGTTCCAGTCAGGCAGGAAGGGAGTGCTCCTTTCCTTCCCCTGCTCATCCCACCAGGAGGGCGGACAGTTAGCGGGTCTGTAATAGCTGATGTGCAAGGAGCACGGGTGCCAGGCCAGGCATCCAGGCCTGCCCAGTAGGCCAGCGAGTGAAGCCTGAGGAAGTGGCAACGAGACTCTTACGACCATTTAACAGGAGGGGAGACTGAGGCACCAAAGGTGCAATCACCAGCCGAATGTCTCAGAGCCAATAGTGGAGTCAGGATTCAAAGCGGCCACCCAGTGTTCTTAACTGCTACACAGTAAATAATAATAGCAATGATAGCAAATCATAATAATATTATTTTTGAAAAGATTTTATTTATTCAAGAGAAAGCAAGAGTAGGGGTGGGAGTTGCAGAGGGAGAGAGAGAAGCAGGCTCCCCACAGAACAGGACCCCGGGATCAAGACCTGAGCCAAAGGCAGATGCTTAACTGGCTGAGCCCCCCCACATACCCCCTAATAATATTGATTGTTGGCTACACCCCAGGTCTCTTCTGAGAGTCGCGTTGGGTGTAGTAACTCAGGCATCTGCATGATAATCTAACGAGGGAAGTTATTTCTATCTTGCAGATGTGCAGACAAGAATTCAGGGAGGAGAGGACAGGTGCCTGAGGTCACCCAGCTGACGGGTGGCAGAGCCAGGACTGGAGCCCAAGCAGCTGGCTCCAGAGGCCTTGTGCTTTACCAGCACATATAAACAACAACAACAAAAACACTATTAGTACCCGCTTTATGCTAGGCTCTGCATGAGGACTCTCTTCTTCCAGCCCATAAGGTCACGGTGGGAAATTTGCAAATGTCAGTCCCTCCCCTGACTTCCCATGGAGATCTCACAGCCCCTTCCTTCCTCAAACCCTGCCAACAGTTCCCTTGCCTTCTTGATCAGAGATGATCATGATCAAGATGATCAAGATGATCTCCCATTATGATCAGAGATCATCTCGTTTTGGGGTTTTTATGTTGTGTGCCTCTCACCCTCCCTCAAAGAGAGCCAGTGGAGTGGCTTTGTCTATTTGCCACCCATAGTGTCACAGAGGGCGCTCAATAAATATTCATCCACTGCATGACTCATCAGCAGCAGTATTACCATAACGAAAGTCGCTTCCATATGCTCAGTCCAACACACAGAAGATGCTCAATAAATGTTTGTTGAGTGAATAATAACATTATAATATAGTCACAATGACTATTTCTTTTGTCAACATCTTAGTGTCACATAATAGGCGCTTATAAGTACTTTTGGAACGAATAAGAATAACATTAGGAATAACAATAAAAGCAGCGACATTTGTTCTGCTCAGAGTGCTACCCACAGTTCGTCATTAAAAAAATTTACTAGTCAGAAAATGAGTGAAAGAATAAATTAATTACTAAATAGTTATTGAATGAATGAATGAATGAATGCATGCATGCATGGATGCATGCATGGTTTGGACAAATGTATTTTTTTCCCTCTCCTCCCCATGGGCCTGGAAATATTATTGAGTACCCAGCGTGGGGCCCTGGGGACACAGATATGAACAGGGCAAAATCCTCTACTGGGGCTGACGTGCATGTGGGAGAGACAGAAGAAAAACAAGATGAGTGGATGAATGGGTGGATGGATGGGGAAGGATGGGTCAGTGGGTGGGTGAATGGGTGGGGGCTGAGTGGGTGGCTGGCTGGCTGGGTGGACGAATGGATGGTCAGGTGCGTGGAGGGACTGCTGGGTGGGTGGGTGCATAAATGGAGATGGGTGATGGGTGGGGGGATGAATGGGTGGGGGGTGAGTGGGTCGATGGCGGGCTGGCTGGCTGGCTGGGTGGACCAATGGGTGGTTGGTCGGTCTGGAGACTCCTCCCATCCGCACTCCTGGGAGCAAAGGGAAAGTGAGGCGGGGCAGCCGGCCCCTCCGGAGCCCCGCCCTGCTGCAGTCCTCGCGTCGGCCGACAGCGCCGCTCACCTGCGCGCCTCCCCTTTAAGACGCTCTCACCTGGGCGCTCACCTGCGCGCGGGCGCTTCCGCAGGAAGAAGGAAGCAGCGCCGCCGTCGCCTCCCGGCGCTCGCTCCCCGCCTCCCGGGTCCGCCGGCCGCTACCATGTCCGCCTCGGCTGTCTTCATCCTCGACGTCAAGGGCAAGGTGGGCCGGGCGCGGGGGGTGTCGGGGGGAGGACAGGTGAGGCCGCGCGCCCCTGCGCCCGGGGGCGGCCCCTCCTCGCGGGCGGGGGGGCTCCAGAAAGCCCCGGGAGCGTGGGAACACCCCTCCCCCAATCCCTGGAAGTCCCGGGTCGAGGCCCACCTCCCCTGTTGCCCCTCAGCGCGCCGCGCGCGGGCTGGGCCTTTGCCTCTCGGAGCCTCAGTTTCCCTGTCCGGAAAAATGGGGAGAACGAGGTCCCCACCCGCTGGGAGTGACTGCAACTCGATGAGCGTCGACTGCTTAGCCCTGTAGCCCCGCTGCAAACATTAGGGGTTCGGTCGCTCGGTTGAAATGATTTTTATCACCCTCATCATCCACATGATTAATATTTGGGGAAGACGGCAGGGGCGGGAGACCCTCGTTCCCGTTTGGGGCTGCCTTGTCCCTTCCTGAAGCCCCCTCTCAAGCGCCTTGTCATTTCATATCAAAAACCACGGTGGTTGGGGACACCTGGGAGGCTCAGCGGTTTGGCGCCGCCTTCAGTCCAGGGCCTGATCCTGGAGACCCGGGATCGAGCCCCACGTCGGGCTCCCTGCCTGGAGCCTGCTTCTCCCTCTGCCTGTGTCTCTGCCTCTCTTTCTCTCTCTGTGTCTCTCATTAAAAAATAAATAAAATCCTTAAAAATATATATAAATAAAAAACCAGGATGGTGGTGAAAACTCAAGTGCTTGAGGACCGGCCCTGCGAGGTCCTGGTTCTCAGCCCTGGACTAAACCACCCTAGGAGGCAGTACTGTTAGTATCCAGGGCTCGCTGCCTGCCAGACGGCGGCTCTGTGCGATGTATAATCTCTCTTTCTATAATTTTTTTTTTTTGCCTCATTCCCCCTCCTCTCCCCTCCCCATCCCCTGATTTCCCCACCTCTTAGAGACCTGGTTCACACCTGCCTTTCTCCAGCCTTCAAATGAAGACAGTGCTGGTGCCCGCCCCACAGGTTGTAGTGAGAACATAATCAGTTAGCAAACACCCAGTCTTTGGTAGGACGCGGCCTGGTCCTCAGTGAGGACCCTGGATACGTTGCCCTGGTCACACACCCGTTTTACAGAGGAGGAAACTGAGGCAGAGAGCAGCAGAGTCTTGCCCCTGCCCGTCAGCCAGGGAGTAGAGTCGGAACCAGGCCCTCTGACGCCCCTGGATGAAGGGTCCCGGATTCCAGACGTGACCAGGCCTTCTCTGCTCACCCTTAGCCCCTGATCAGCCGCAACTACAAGGGCGACGTGGCCATGAGTGAGATTGAGCACTTCATGCCTCTGCTCATGCAGCGGGAAGAGGAGGGCGCCCTGGCCCCCCTACTGAGCCATGGCCGGGTACATTTTCTGTGGATCAAACATAGCAACCTCTATTGTATCCAGCCCCCAGCTGGGATCCTGGAGGCCTGGGGTGGTAGCAGCTTGGGCCCAGAGAGAGTAGACTGAGGGCAGAAGTGCACAGCACATCAGGGGCTCAGGTTGGGGTGGAGGGGGTGGACAGAAATGAGGTGAGGGTGGGGGGACAGCCAGAGGTTTTAGGATCTGGGCTCCATTTGAGACCTCCAAAAAAGCACCTTTTCCTTAACTTTGCTGCACATAGTGGTGGCTACCACGCTGAAGAATGCCAACGCCTCCCTCGTGTACTCCTTCCTCTACAAGACAGTGGAGGTAGGTTCTGGCTTCCCGTTGGCCAGCTGGTCTGTCTGTCCACCCCCCTGCACCCCATTTGCTCTTCTCTTTCAGGATCCATCTCTCCTAGGAAGCTTCCCCTGACCTCCATTGAAACCCCATCTCTGTGTTCTCATTAGCTGCTAAGGGATCATCTCTCCCTGTAGGGCAAGGACCAAGCAGGTCTCCAAGAGAGTGCACTGCTCAAACCTGGGCCAGAGAATACTGGGTTGCAGTCCCAGCCCCCTACTCTTCCTGGCTGTGTGACCTTGAGCAAGTCACTTCTCTCAGTGTCTCTAAACTGAGGGTTACAACAAGTCCCACCTCGGGGTGTTGTACAAATTAGTCAAATTCATATTTATGAGTGATTCAAACAGGGGCTTAGTACACAGTGAGTGCTCAGTAAAGGTTTGGTGGTGGTGTTAGCGTTAGCACGGCTAGAGAATCCTATAATAATTTGAGTGCTTGCTAAATCGCATTCTCAGTGACGGAGAAAGTGCTCAGTAAATACTTTACAACAAACAAGGAATATGTATTGATTTGTCTCCTGCCAGGCGAAGAGGGGACACAGCTATGCACAAGGCAGGTGCAGTCCCTGCCTGTCCCAAGGAGTTAAAGGGCATGAAGGAGATTGAACAGGACATCATGAGAACGAGTGACTAGGGTGCTAGTCTCACCGTGATACTCAGAGAGGAGGAGGGATGTAGCGGCTTCACTGGGGAGGTGACATTTGAGCTGAGGCCTGAATGACAAGGAGTCCATTGTGAGAAGATTGTCCCAGGCATAGGGGACGGCATATGCAAAGAGGTGAGAATGGAAGGCAGGCCAGTGAGGCTGGAGCAGAATGAAGGTTGGAAGGTTTCTCAAATTGTCAGATGACTGATAGGTTCTGTGCTGTGGTTAAGCCTACAAAACTCCCAGAGGCTCTGAACTTGGGGACCCAAACCCTTAAAGCCCTGTGAATTCAGGGGTTCCACGAACTTAGACGTATTTCTGTATAACAGATTTCCTTGCCCATCTCATATATTTTATGCATTAAAACCCTTCTGTAAACAGCACCAGATACACAGCATTCCGTGGTCCACAGAAAAGAAAAGAAACGAAAAGAAAACGGCTCTGAGCCCTTCTAATCCCTCCTCCAGGAAGGCTTCCTGGACCTCCCTGCCTCTGACTTCCTACTTTGTGGTTTCCTCATTTTCACACTCTACATGTTGTATTTCTCTTGGTCCCATTATCGGTCCATTTCCCCCACTAGACTGTTCCATGAGACCACGGACACTGTTGGTTGTGTTCACCATTAATGTCCCAGTGTTTGGTAGATAGTAGGCACTCAATAGTTGCTTGGTGGATTGCTGGCTGGCTGAATGGGGCCCCAGCCCGTCATATGGCTGTACCACAGCCATGCCTCTACTGGTGTGTGTTTCCCTGCACCCCCAGGTTTTCTCTGAGTACTTCAAGGAGCTGGAGGAGGAGAGCATCCGAGACAACTTCGTCATCGTCTATGAGCTGCTGGATGAGCTCATGGACTTCGGCTTCCCACAGACCACGGACAGCAAGATCCTCCAAGAGTGAGTGGGCCCTGGGGGCAGCCCCAGGGTGAGCCACTGATGGAAGGAACTTGGGGGGGGGGGAGGGGAGAGGGGAGTGTCCCTGGGTCCAGCTGCTAGTCACCCCCACCCTCCTGACAGGTACATCACGCAGCAGGGCAACAAGCTGGTGACTGGCAAATCCCGGGTGCCACCCACTGTCACCAATGCCGTGTCCTGGCGCTCCGAGGGCCTCAAGTACAAGAAGAATGAGGTCTTCATCGATGTCATAGAGTCTGTCAACCTGCTGGTGAGCCCGCACTCCTTCCGTGGCCTGGGGGGCAGGAGAGGAGGCCCGATGATGCTCCTTGACACCCCCCCCCCCCCCCCCCCCCCCCCCCCGCCATATGTGCATTTTCAGGTCAATGCCAATGGCAGCGTCCTTCTGAGCGAGATCGTGGGCACCATCAAGCTCAAGGTGTTTCTGTCGGGAATGCCAGAGCTGCGGCTTGGCCTCAACGACCGCGTCCTGTTTGAGCTCACTGGCCGTAAGCATCTGGAGGGGGATGCACAAGGGAGCCCACCCTGCCCCTCCTGGGGACCCAGAGAATTCCAGCTGGTTCTCCACTCAGCCCTCGAGCGCCCTCTGCTGGTCCTGACCGGTGCTGCAGCTGCTGGCTCCGCGGCGCCGACAGGGCTTCATTGTTGGGTGCCTGGTCCACGCACCGCGAGCGGGGAGGCAAATCACTGCCCCCGTGGAGCTGACATTCCAGTGGGCGTAGGAGGCGGAATAGCATCACATTAAAAACCTGGCAGCACGAGCCAGATTCCCTGAGTTCAGATCCTAGCTCTGCCCCTGGCCGGCTGGGCGGCCCTAGGCCTGCTCCTCATCCTCCCTGGGACTCAGTCTCCTTACCTGTGCGATGCAGGTAACGGCGCCTGGGAGGCGGGAAAGGCGGGGCTAGAGACCCTATCCCAGGCCTCCAGGGTCACCCACCCACTCGGCTCCGAGTTTCAGGGAGCAAGAACAAGTCCGTGGAGCTGGAGGACGTGAAATTCCACCAGTGCGTGCGGCTCTCTCGCTTTGACAATGACCGCACTATCTCCTTCATCCCGCCCGACGGCGACTTCGAGCTCATGTCCTACCGTCTGAGCACCCAGGTGAAGCAGGGTAAAGCCCCACTGCAAGGGGCGAAGGCTGACCCCCAGGGCCTCCAAGAACTTCCTCTTCTGCTGTCTGCAGGTCAAGCCATTGATCTGGATTGAGTCCGTCATTGAGAAATTCTCCCACAGCCGCGTGGAGATCATGGTCAAGGTAGGCCCAGGGGAGCAACACTCACAGCGCTTGATCTGCCAGCTCTCAAGTCCTCCCTGGCTCCCCATCGCCCTCCAGCCACGCTGGTCTCCCCGGTGGTTCTCACGCACGGTCAGGCACAGTTCCCTGAAGGGGCCTTGCACTGGCTGTTCCTTCTACCTGGGTTGCTTTTCCAGCAGCCGTGCTCACAGCTTGGACTCCCACCCTCTCCCGCCCCCTCTGGTCTCTGCTCTACTGACCATCACATCTACTTCTCTCCTGTGTGGATTTCTTTTCCACACAGCAGGCACATAGTAGGTTCTCAATACTGTCTAAATGATGGACAAAGTATTAGCTGTCCCTATTATGATTTTAACTGAGCCTCTTACCTTATAAGGGAACTAAGGGACAGGAGGGAAGAAATAAAAGATATCCTGTCCTCAAGGAGCTTGAGGCCAGCTGGAGAGACAGACAAACCTTCAGCAAGGTAGATCCCTAATCTGCCCACTTCACACTCCCTCCACTGCATATGCCCTGGTCTCCCAGCTCCTGCCTTTACCCCCACCGCTGCCAACTGTCTATTCCTTTACAGGGCACCTATGAGCATCAGTCTGGCTGTGTCTCTCTTCTGCCTAGAACTTTCCATGGCTCCCACTTCACTGAGAGTAAAAGCCAAAGTCCTGGCAGCCCACAAGGCCCCGTGACAGTCTTCCCTGTCACCTTCCTATCTTTTTTTCTTTTTTAAAGATTTTATTGATTGCTTGATTGCTTGATTTATAAGAGACAGAGGCAGAGACATAGGCAGAGGGAGAGGCAGGCTCTTCGAGGGGAGCCTATGCAGAACTCGATCTGAGCCGAAGGTATGTGCTCAACCACTGAGCCACCCAGGTGCCTCTCACCTCCCTATCTTTACCTCCTTCCTCTGTCTTCCTCCGTCACTCCATTCCAGCTATATCGGCTTTCTCTATTCACACCAAGCAAGGTCATACCTCAGTACCTTTGCACTGGCTATTCCCTTTCTTTGGATCATACCACCTCCTTGTCCTAGGTATCCCACATGGCTCCTTCCCTCATATCCTTCAGCTTTTTTGCTAAATGTCACCTCCTCAGAGTCCTTTCCTGATTTCCCTATTTAAAATTGCAACCCCTTATCATTCCCCACCTCCCTCTCTGCTCTATTTTTCCCCTATGACTTAACACCAACTGACATGTTTTACCTATTAACTTTCTTTCTTTTATTTAAAAAAAAGATTTTATTTACTCATGAGAGAGAGAGAGAGAGAGAGGCAGAGACATAGGCAGAGGGAGAAGCAGGCTCCTTGCAGGGAGCCCAATGTGGGACTCCATCCTGGATCCCAGGATCACACCCTGAGCCAAAGGCAGACGTTCAACTGCTGAGCCACCCAGGCATCCCTACTTATCTACTTTCATATCAAATATATATATATACATACATAATATTTATGTGGTTTAAAGAAAGTAGTCAGCATATTCAAATGTGCTTGACCGCAGACTCTGAGCCCCCACATTGCCCTCCCCCAATTATTGCTCACCCCTTCCCCAGAGGTAATCATGATCTTCAATTTTATGTAAATAGTTTCTTTGCCTTTCTTTATAATTGTGCCATCCATATTTTTTTAAAGATCTTTTCATTTTTTAATTTTTAAAGATTTTATTTATTTATTCATGATAGACACACAGAGAAAGGCAGAGACACAGACGGAGGGAGAAGCAGCCTCCCAGCAGGGATCCCAATGTGGGACTTGATCCCCATCCCAGGATCACACCCTGAGCCAAAGGCAGATGCTCAACTGCTGAGCCACCCAGGCATCCCTCACTTTTTATTTTTAACTTTAAGTTTTATTTTTAAGCAATCTTTACACCCATTATGGGGCTCAAACTCACAATCCCAAGATCAAGAGTTGCACGCACCACTGACTGAGCCAGCCAGGCGCCCTGCCACCCACATTTTTACCATAAATATTTTGTTCTGCTGGTTTCCGATCCTATCAGTGGACTGACTTGCTTTGTGTAAGATTGACTTTTTTTCAAAGATTTTATTTATTCATGAGAAATACACAGAGAGAGGCAGAGACATAGGCAGAGGGAGAAGCAGGCTCCTCACAGGGAGCCGGATCTGGGACTCGATCCCAGGACCCCGGGATTGCGACCTAAGCATCAAAGGCAGATGCTCAACCTCTGAGCCACCCAGGCGTCCCTGTGTAAGATTGACTTGAACACAAGTCCCAGTAACTGTACCTATGGCCCTTTTTATAGCTGTAGAATATTCCACCATGGGGATCTTTTCCAACTATTCCTTCTCCTGCTTGAGTTGTCCTAATTCTTGGCTCTTCTAGTTGTTGCCATGAACAGCTCTGCATGTCTCCCAGTGTCCCAAAGAGCTCCTCCACAGCTTAGAGTGACCCCTCTTTTACAGATGGGTAAGGAGGTTTGGAGGGATGAAGATGTCACCATCTAGCAAGGGCAGGGAGCTACTTTGAACTTAGGTCTGCTTGGCTCAAGAGTCTGTTTTTATTATGTATTTTTATTTTTTAAAGATTTTATTTGAGATAGAGAGTGAGAGACTGAGCTTGGGGTGGAGGTGGCTACACAGGGAGAAGGAGCCTGCTGAGCAAGGAGCCTGACACGGGTTCCATCCCAGGACCCCAGGCTCATGACCTGAGACAAAGGCAAATGCTTAACCCACTGAGCCACCCAGGTGCCCCAAGAGTCTGTGTTTTTATATTTGACCTTGTTCCCTGGTTTTGGGGTGTCAGGGAAGTTGGATTGCAGGGTGAATGGTCACCAGGCAGGGTCTTGACACCCCTCAATGTCCCCATCGCTGTGCGCAGGGAAAAGGGGAAGGGGCCGTTAATACTGGTGCTTGCCGGAAAGAATATCCCTTCTGGTTTATTTCTAGGTCCTCTGCCCCGATGCCACCTCTCAGATATCCCTCCCCAAATTCATCAGTAGTAGTAATCATAATGCTAGCACATAGAACACTTAAAATCCCTGTGTTCAAAGTTTGTCTCGTGTCATGTGCTAGATACAGATAAGGTAACTTGTTCATTTATTTGTAAGGAAGGCCAGCGATGGTTGACAACACAAATTCGACTCAAGTCCCTGCTGTGCCAGGTACCAGCTTACTGTCTCGCACAGAGTGCCTCACTCTCCTCATCTGTAAAATGGACCTTAGGGATGGGGAATTAGTGAGAGGGCCAAGTGGTTGGCTCAGGGCCCAGCACATTAGGGACTTTTTTTTTTTTTTTAAGATTTTATTTATTTATGAGAGACACACACAGAGGCAGAGACACAGGCAGAGGGAGAAGCAGGCTCCACGCAGGGAGCCCGAAGTGGGACTCGATCCTGGGACTCTAGGATCATGCCCTGGGCCGAAGGCAGGCAGTCAACTGCTGAGCCACCCAGGCTTCCCGTAGGGGGTCATTAAATGCCCATTATCAAATAAAAACTCCTCTGTGATGGGCAGTGTTGGCACTTTGGGCCAGGCAAAGGTGTAGGATGCTTTCCAAAAGGAAAGTCACTAAGAACAGAGCCTCTGAAGTCTCCTGTGGGTGTGACCCCCCAGCCCGGCCACCTGTTGGCTGTGCATCTCCAGGCAAATGCCTCAGCGTCCCTGTGGTCTCCATTTCCTCTTCTGCAAAATGGGCAGGATGACCGTTCCCACTTCAGGTTGCTGAATATTTGCAGAATCCAAGAGTGAATTCTTCACACCCTATACCCTCTCCACCAACAGGCCAAGGGGCAGTTTAAGAAGCAGTCAGTGGCCAACGGTGTGGAGATATCTGTGCCCGTCCCCAGTGATGCCGACTCCCCTCGCTTCAAGACCAGTGTAGGGAGTGCCAAGTACGTGCCGGAAAAGAATGTCGTTATTTGGAGTATTAAGTCTTTCCCGGTGAGTACAGGGATGGGTGTGGGATCTGAGGGACCTGCCCCTGTGGCTTGCAAGCAAGGCAGAGAATAAATCAGAGACCTGTGTGTGTGCACAGGGTTATCCTTTGAGGGTAATAAGGCTGGAAAGCAGGCCAGCGGGGTGGTTAAGCACCCCGGCTCCCAGGTCTTAAGGAAACCAGTCCTGGGGTTCAGGTTCTCCACCCTTTCCTCTGTGAGCTAGACAGCCTCGGGAAACCCACTTCCCTTCATGGAGCCTCTGTCTGTCCATCTGTGAAATAGGACCACATTACTCTCTTCCTTGGGCTGCTTGCTGCAGGATTTGGTCAGTCCTTGTAATCTGGGAGGGTCCATCAGGGCCTGGAAAGTGGGGGATGACCATTAGAAGCTCTCAGAGCAGGCTTTATAGATAGAAGCTTCAGCTGTGTCTCAGCCATGAGCCTTTCCTTTCTGGTCTGAAATGGTCAAGGAACAGAGCCGGCACTGGGGGCTGCCGTGAGGATGGTCTGGGGCACACAGAGGCCTTTGGTGTGTCTGATGCGCCCATGTGCCCTCAGGGGGGCAAGGAGTACCTGATGCGTGCCCACTTTGGCCTCCCCAGCGTGGAGAAGGAGGAGGTAGAGGGCCGGCCCCCGATTGGGGTCAAGTTTGAGATCCCATATTTCACCGTCTCTGGGATCCAGGTGAGTGTAGCGAGCCGGTGTCTTCTCTCTTTGGCCTCAGTGGCTTTCCCATTCTCTTGTCCCTTGGCTTGGGTCACTTCTGCTCCCTGGCCTGGGTGACCTCTCCTCTGTAGCCGGCCTGTGCCACGTGTTTCCCCAAAACCACGTTGTGTCTATTCCCTTACACTGTGCCATCTCTTTCCCAGCGTCCTGGACTGTCTCCCTGCTCTCCTCTTCCCACAGCCCATGTCATGCCTTTGCCCCAACCCATCACCTCATTATTCATAGACTGTCATCCTATTCCCTCCCCCATCAAGTTGTGTTCCATATGGTTCTCTCACCACAGCCGGTCTCTCTCCACAACCTGGGCCACCTCTCTTCATTCCCTTTCAGGTCAGATACATGAAGATCATTGAGAAAAGCGGTTACCAGGCCCTGCCATGGGTTCGCTATATCACCCAAAGTGGCGGTAAGGCAGACGGTGGGGTCAAGGAAATCAAGAGGATGGTCTCGAGGCTTTGATCACACTCTGGCTTGGAGGGCACCAATATTCAGCAGGCCTGGCCTCAGACCTACCCTGTCGTTATCACCATGCCAGCTGGGCTTCAGTTTGCCCATCTTTAAAATGGGGGCAGTTGCCAGTTCTAAGGTACTGATAGAGTTTGGACAAGGGACTGAACGCACAGCACTCAATCTGTACCCAGAAAGGAGCTGCTTGTTGCTATGGTTACTATCCCTGTGCTGAACCCCATTCTTAGCCTTGTTACGTACCCATGGGGTTGATCATGAGCACTAGGGTGGGGATGGATTAAATGGGGGGGTAGGTTCCCCTCTCTTCTCTTTCCCCAACTCTGAGATGGTCTCTGCTCCTTGTTTCCTGGCAGATTATCAACTTCGTACCAGCTAGGAGAGAGAAGAGGTGGGGACTTGGACGTGGGGCCTTCCCTCTCCCTGGGCTGGGCAGTCGACTTGAGAGGGAGGAAGATGGGGGATGTGTGTGAGGGAAGGCCCCCGACTTAGCAGTTTCTGCTCCTGGCTTCCTCCCTGCCTTTCCCTCAATCCACAGGCTGGGAGGAACAGGCCTGCCTCCCCTACCTCCCTCTGCCTCGGGGCTCCTCCCTCCTCCAGTTTTATATGAAGAAACAGAGGAGGGCCTCAAAGCCCCCCTCATGAGTGCCTTCTTGCAGTGACCTGCCTTAGGGGTATTGGGGCCTCTCCTTCACAGCTCCTGAGCCCAGAGGCCATGCTGGCCCACCCGGAGTTTTAGGATGGTATTAAAAAGAATGAATCTAGCTGCTGTGTATATTCTTGGCTGGGGACTGGGGATGCCAGGGACATCCCTGAAGTGCTGGGACAGGAGTGGGCAATGCATATCCATTTCTCAGCCCTAGTCCTGGCCGGTCTGTGGCAGTGCAGTTGCCCCTCTCCCCCTTGCTCCTTGGGCCCCAGGCCCAACCGGCTCCAACCCGGCTCTCACACCATCAGTTCCCCTTGCAGCAGCCAGAGGGCGCCTCTTAACTGCTAAGTCCTAGGTCTTGGCTCTCTCAGATCCCTCCCAGGGCTCCCGTGTTAAAACTAAAAACTCAAGGGCTCGTCGCTTATTGCAGTCCACAAGCCTGATGTGCACTACCCCTCCCTCCACTTACCGGTCCTCACCTCCTGCCACTCTCCCCATTTAGTCCTCAGCGCTTGCTTTTTTTAAAAAAAAAATTATTTATTTTATTTATTCATGAGAGACACATGCAGAGGAAGAAGCAAACTCCATGTAAAGAGCCCGATGTGGGACTTGATCCCGGGAATCAGGGATCCTGCCCTGAGCCAAAGGCAGATGCTCAACCGCTGAGCCACCCAGGGGTCCCAGTCCTCAGCGCTTCTGCTTCTCGGTCACTGCATCCATAACACCCTTCACCTCGCGTGCTTTCCCCCAGATAGTCACATGGCTCCTTCCCTCACCTGCAAGTCGCACATGTCACCTCCTCGGGAGGCCCTGCCTGACCTCCCTATTTCAACGGCCTTCCTTTCCCAAGAGGCTTTCGCTTACCTGTTTTCATCACCTTCGGAGCGTTTACCGCTCCGCAAAGATTTAATTTCTGTCTTCTCCCAACCTAAATGATGGGGGGTCCTGCAGCGGGAGCCACCGGGCTGCCTCACTCTCCAGTTCGGCGCCTAGTACACAGACGGTGCTCGCTAAGTGAATGCAGGCACCTGTAAGAGCCGCCTCGGACCTCGCCTCTCGCCTCCCAGGCTCGTCCACGTGGCGGCTGCAGCTTGCAGCGGCGAGTTTTGTCCTCGCCCTGGCAAGTGCCAGGTTTGGTTCAGTCTGAGCCAGACCGTGATTCTTTCTCACCCACCCCAACCCCCCCCGTTTTATTTTCTTGACGGCGCTTAAATTAACCCTACCTAAAATTACGCAGTTGCCCTTATGTGCGCACCCCAGCGCCCGGAAGGCTTCCAGCACGCGGTGGGGGAGCGAATAAAATAATGCGCTGTGCCCAAAGGGCTAATAAATGCTTATCGCGTGACCGGATGGTGAAACCCCGGCCTGAGCTGCCCCAGCCCTGCCTCCCTTCCTCCCAGAGGTGCCGAGGCTCGGGAGCAGCCCGCGCTACCCTGCCCCTGACCTTTCTCCCGCGGGTCAGTTAAACCGGCTCCCTTTCCCGCCCGCCTGGCGAGTTTGAAAACCGAAAACCCCGCCATTGCCGGCGGTCCACCGGTCGCCGGCGGCTCGGCCAATCAGGAGCGACGCCGCCCATGCCGGAGGGCCGAGCTCCCCCGGCGACGCGTGGCCATTGGCTGCGTTGCCCGGGTGGGCGGGGCGCCGCCGGGTCGCGCGCGGGGCAGTGCTGCGGGGCTACAGTGTAGCGAGTTCATAAGAAAACAAATCTGCAGCGTTCGGGGCGGGGCCTCGCGCGCGCTGGCTCCGCCCCCTGGCGGCCGGCTCGGCGGCGACGGCGTAGCAGGCTCAGAACAGACCCCGCCCGTCGAGGAGGAGGGAGGGTGAGTTGGGGGGAGACCCGGCCCCCAAGGGGCGGGCGCCGGCCCCGGCGGGCGGCGGAGGGTTGGGCCGGGCTCCCAACCCCCGGGGACCCGCTGGCCGGCAGGGGGAGGAGCCCGGGGAGGGCGGGGGTCGCGCCCGAGTGCAGACTGGGAGCCGGGCGGGGAGCCTCGCACAGGCCAGGTGCGCCTCGGAGGGGATCTTCGGGCCGGCGTCTTCCCCGCGTTGACCTCGCCGCGGTGGGGCGGGGGACTTTGCAGGCTGCCAGTGTCGACATGCTGCTGGAGGAGGTCCGCGCCGGCGACCGGCTGAGCGGGGCCGCGGCCCGAGGCGACGTGCAGGAGGTGCGCCGCCTTCTGCACCGCGAGCTGGTGCACCCCGACGCCCTGAACCGCTTCGGCAAGACGGCGCTGCAGGTGAGGCCCGGCCGGCCCGGGGCGAGGGCGGGGCGGGGCGGGGACCCCACACCCTTTCCCTTAGGTCTCCTGGCCGCCCGCCGTGGTGGCTGACTGGGGATCCGGTCCTTTTTTTCCTGGGTAGATGTTGCTCCCTGATGTCCGTATTCATGGGTGGGGGGTGGATGGGGTTAGGTTGGGGGAGGGGAGGACTTTGCATCTTCTCTGGACGATTTCTTATTCTCTGGGTGCGGAGGATTCAGTTTCTCGGGGGAGGTTCTTATTCCGTGGTGTGAGTTCAGCTTCCTTGGGTCCTGGTTTCATAGGGATGGCTCTTGTTTCTTGGAGCTTCTGTGGGGGGATCCAATCACTGGAAGGAAGGATTCATGTTTCCAGGGGATCCCCCCCATTTTCTGGAGAGTTCTCTGAGAGGTATCCAGTTATTTGGGGAGATCTCAATTTCTGGGTTGGTTTTTTTCCCCAGATTGCTGGTATATTAAGGGAAGTCCTGATGGGGGCACAGTTACAGATGGTATGGGCGTCCTTATTCCTTGGGGGCCATTTTACAGTGGAACCCCATTTCTTAAGGGAGTCAGTCAAGTACCCTGGGAGCATCCTCATTATATGAGAGGAGCTATTAATTGGAGAAGGGGGTTTCAAATTCTCTGGGCATCTTATTTACCTTGAGTAGGCAAGTTCCTTGGGGGCAGTTTTCATTCCATAAGGCCTATTTCCCGGGTGGGGGTCATATTTCCTAATGATTTCCCGTATGGGCTGGGGCATGTGTCTGATTCCTCGGTGAGGGTCTTAAGTTCCTTGAAATTTTTCATAGAGGCTATTCCCTAGTTGATCATCTTATCCTTAGGTGATGACCAGTTTCTTGGGGGTTCCTATTTCCAGGAGATGCCTTTCTCTGGGGTATCAAACAGCTGTCTGAGAGCTTGTGTTCCCTGGGGCTTCCCCATTCTTCAGAAGACCTCTAGTGTTCCCTATTCTTGCATGACCCCTCTCTTCAGTGACTCCTTTTCAAGGAACCTCTCCCTTGAAGGCCCCTTACCCTGTGCCCCCACACAGGTCATGATGTTTGGCAGCCCCACCATTGCCTTGGAGCTCCTCAAGCAAGGTGCCAGCCCCAATGTCCAGGATGCCACCGGCACTACTCCAGCCCATGATGCAGCGCGCACTGGATTCCTGGACACTCTGAAAGTTTTGGTAGAGCATGGTGCTGATGTCAACGCTCCCGATGGCACTGGGGCACTCCCCATCCATCTGGCAGTGCGAGAGGGCCACACGGCTGTGGTCAGCTTCCTGGCTACTGAGTCTGATCTCCATCACAGGGATGCCAGGGGGCTCACACCCCTGGAGCTGGCACAGGGGATAGGGGCTCAGGATCTCATGGACATACTGCAGGGGCACACTGTGGTACTGCTGTGACCTGGGGCCACCCCCTCCAGCAACAGGACCCAGCGAGGTTCTATGTTAAAAGAGAAGAAACACTTTCTTCTTTCACTCCTGCCCACCGTCGAAAGGGAAGGGGCACCAGTTTTGTGGCTTGTTGGTGTTGATTTGTGAGGGTGTGTGTGTTTGAGGGGTATTTCTCAATTTGTTTTTCTCACCCCTTTTGATGTGTTGGGCAGAGAAGGGCTCCTGCAGACATCAGCCATCTAAACGGTTCAGTTTTCTCTGCGCCTCAGATTGCTGGGGCTGCAAACGCCCAAGGGCAGAGCATTTAAAGCCCCAGCCCGAGTGAGGTCATCGCTTCCAGGGCTCCTGGAACCTGGCGACCTTGGCTGGCTGTACCCAGAGAGAGACCTCAAGTGTGCACACTGCTTTCAGGCATGGGGGAGGGGGGGAGTGTTTCAAATCAATAAAAGGGTAGTATCAGTTCATTCATATTTTGTTGGAAGCTTGTTTTCCAGTCTCTTGTACAGCGTTTAAAGAAAGAGATTCTATTTATTAAGCTTTGTGGAAAAAAAATTGTTGTGTGATAACTTAATGTTTTTACCCATTAAATTAAGACTTGTGCATGATCACAGAGCTGGTGGCTTTTGATTTTTGAGTCTGCGATGGAGTGTCGCGCGTCCAGTACGTTTGTGGGGGGTGGGCGCGGGGTGGGGGGACAGATCGTGGACACTTTGGGGGAGGGGAGAGAGTGGTAATTCCCAGGGTGCCAGAGGTGAGTGAGCTGGGTGGGGCAGCGGTTTACGCTGTCGGAACGGAAAGGAGGCAGGAAACCGCGAGTGGAGAAAGGGCCCCCAGATGTCAGCTGGGTGCCGGGAGCCCCGGGGGGGGCCGTAGTGGGCGGTGGCTGCAGTCTGACCCGCAAAGGCGTGACCCGCGGGCGGGGACTGTGGTCGCACGCCGTCAGGGATCCCGGAAAGACTGGGGACGGGATTAGGCGCGGCCCGCCGGGCTCCGCCTCCTTCCAGGCTCGCCGGGGCGGGGCCGGGAGTGGTCCCGCCTCCCTGGGGGCCGCTCGCCACACGCGTGCGCAGTGGGCCGCGCAGCCGCCATGCCGGAGCCGCGCGGCTCTTCGCCCCTTCGGGTAAACGCGGCGTTTGCGGCCCGGTACGGCCGCTACCGGGAGCGCGAGGAGCTGCAGCGGCGTGAGTGCGGGGCGCGTGCGCGCGGGGCGGCGGCGCGTGCCGGGTCGCGGGGAAGAGGGGGTTGATCGGTCCTCCGCGCTCATCTGGGGGGCTCCCACCTCCGCTCCGCAGTTAAAGATCGCTACGGGGACCGGGACAGCGGCGGCGACTCCAGCTCTGAGTCGGACTCTAGCGACGAGCGCGTGGTGAGCTCTCATCCCCGCGCCGTACATTCGGGAAGCATCCAAGCCCCCCACCGCCTCCCGACCCCGATATACAGAGGGCGGCTCACCCCCAACCCCACTTCACCCCACGCGAGTTGCCATCCTCCTCTTCCTAATCCCATGAAGGGCACAGCGCTCCTCCCCCGGGGGCGGCCACATTCCCGTCTACTTCCCCTCTCCCGCCACCATCCACCTGCTTCTCCCATCGTGAGAGGTGCGACGATGGGACCGCCGCGTCTACTTTTTCATCCCCAAGAGTTTAACCATTTCTTGGCGTCGGACTCAGTCCCCGAAGTGGGACATCCCTCTGCCACGTGGGGCGCACAGCTTCTCACATCATTCTCACATCAGCCCTGATTTGGGGCCTCACCGTGCAACCCAGCCCCTGCTTGCTGTCCCATCTGTGTCCTCTCTGCTCACCTGCCCCCGTGTTAATCCTTTCTCCGGGTAACTATCCTCCCCTTGCCCACTACCTTCTATGTCAGATCCTGTACCTATGTGGGGCCCGCCCCTGCCCGCCCCCCCCCCAAGAGGGCCCCTCGTCCTCCTCTACTTGTTTTGCATCTTTGGACCGCCCCTCTTACCCACCCTCCAGCCCCCGACCTGCTTCTGTTCCCCCTGGATCTTTCTCCTTCCTCCTAATGTATGCCCCTCCCTCCACCCTAATTTCCACACCCTCTCAGCCCACCTGCCCCCTATTACTTAGTGCCCCCCAGCCTCCACCGAGGCTCTCACCGTTTCTGCAATCCTTTCATGCCTTAGGAGTTTGACCCCCAGCAAGAGCGTGACTTTTATAGGACTCTCTCCTTGTTGAAGAAGAAGGACCCCCGCATCTATCAGAAAGATGCCACCTTCTATCAGAAAACAGGTCTGGGGCTGCTCCTCCCTTCGGCCCAGGTTCCTCGTTCCCTTACTGGTTTTAGTGACTTCTGAATGAAGCCTTTTAACACACAGGTCATGTTCCATGTCCAGAGTGCTTAGCGGAGGGTTTTAGGTTATTGTGCTTGGCGCTGTTCAAAGCAGGAGTTACTCACTGAATGAGCACAGCCAGTTACTAACACACAGTACAAGTGTGATACCTGTTTCACAGCTGGGAACTGGTGGCTCGGGGATTTGAAACCGCCGTCTGACCCTGGCCCCGCCTTGTGGGATCCTTGGCCTGGGGAAGGTGGGGGGTTGTGGGTGATGGCAGGTGTCTTCTGGCAACCTGACAGTATCATCCTCGGAGAGCGAGGAAGCTGAAGAAGTGCCAACAGCCAAAGAGAAGCAAAAGAAGATGCGTCCTATGTACCTGAAGGACTACGAGAGGAAGGTTATCTTGGAGAAAGAAGGGTGAGAAGAGGTCCTGACTCCCTGCCCCATCCTCCCCGCAGCCTTCCCCTGGCAAGTGGATACATGAGACTCTTTGAAAGGGCGGGAAGCAGCTGGTGGTGACTCACCAGGGTTGAGGGGACCCCAGAGAACAGGAGTGTCAGTGATCTACCTGCACCGCCCCCCCAACTGCTGTTTGGAACCCTGTGGGGACAGATGAGCTGTGGGATGTCTAGGCTGAAGCCCCCACTCTCCCTTGCACAGCAAATATGTCGATGAGGAAAATTCAGATGCAGAGACCTCCAATCAGAGATTCCAGGTAGGTGGGGTGGAAACCCTGGTTGGGGGCTGAGGGGCCTGGGGCTGGGCCTGAGGCCAGCATCACTTTCTCTGCAGCAGATCTCGTCGAAAACTTATGTAGAAGAACAGAAACAGCTGAAGGAAAGGTGAGTCTGGGCTGGCTGAATGGCCAGATGGATCAGTGCTGAGGCTCTGGGGTTGGATAGGCCTGGGTTCAAATCCAGCTGTTACTTGATGGCTGTATGCCCTTGGACCCATCACTTAGTCTTTCCGTGCCTCAGTTTCCTCATCTGTTAAATGGGGTTGATGATGCCCCCTGTGCCACAGCACTGCCCTGAGCTTGGTGAGGAGAGCTCAGGACTTAGTAAACAGGCTTCATCTCAGGACTGTGGGCAGGGACCAGCCTGCGTATCCTGAGTCTTCCCCTCTCACACGGGCAGCTTCCGGGCGTTCGTGGAAGACAGCGAGGATGAGGATAGTGCTGGGGAAGGTGGCTCTGGGTTGCTGCAGAAACGTGCTAAGACCAAGGAGGAGAAGGTGGGTGCTGGACTGGCTGGGTGGTTGGGGGTGGGTGGCAGGAAGGGGTCGCCAGACCCTCAGTGCTGGCCTACCCTCAGGCCCAGGAGGAGGCGGACTACGTGGAGTGGCTAAAGGGGCAGAAGGAGATTCGTAACCCTGACGCCTTGAAAGAACTGGTGAGTTCTTGGGTCTGTTCTGTTTCCAGCCCTTTTCTGGAAACCAGTCCTTGAGGGGGTCGCCAAGAGCACATAGTCTGAAGAGGGGGTGTGCCCCTCTCTGGACGCCAGTTTCTGTTTCTGTGAAACAGAGGTTATCCCACTTAGTCTGGTGGCAGCCCTAGAAGGCTCGGTTACTTAGGTCCACATGGTGCCCATGCCCACCCGTCCCTAATCTGGGTCCCATCACCCCCTCACCCCCAGACCCACCTCAAGGAATACTGGAACAACCCAGAGCTGGACGAAGGAGAGCGGTTCCTGCGGGATTATATCCTCAACAAACGCTATGAGGAGGAGGAGGAGGAAGGCGAGGGAGAAGAGGAGGAAGGGGAGGAGGAAGGGTGAGCAGTATCCCTTGGGGGCCTGGAGCCAGTGCTGGCCAGAAAGCAAAGGGCACCAGGTGTTTACTTTTTCACACAGATGGTTGCAGAGTTATTGTTGCATGAGGAAGAGCCGCGGTGTGTGGGCTTTGGAGCTAGGTGGCCCTGTTGCCAGCCTGTGCCTCAGTTTCCCCATCTGTAAAATGGGGGTGTCCCCAAAAGTAGGGCTCTTGTGGGGATTCAGTGAGTTAACATTGCTGGGACACAGGAGTGTAGGGGTTTGACTAACACCCCTATCTCTGCCCCATTTTGTCCCTCAGGGGCCCTGGCCTCCCGGTCCAGCTAACCGTGGATGATTCCTCAGACGAGGGGGAGCTGTTTCTGAAGAAGCAGGAGGACTTTGAGCACAAGTACAACTTCCGTTTCGAAGAGCCGGACTCGGCCTTGGTGCGTGACCTGGGCTGGGAGAGAGGACCCAGACCTTGGGCCCCAGGCCGAGAGAACCCAGAATCATCTCTGTGACCCTTCCGGGCTCCCCTGCTCTCCCCAGGTCAAGACCTACCCTCGAAGCATCGCATCCTCCGTGCGCCGCAAGGATGAGCGCAGGAAGGAGAAGAGAGAGGAGACTCGAGAGCGAAAGAAGAGGGTGAGTGGGGGGAGTGCCAGGTTGGGGAGGGCTGCCAAGCCTGCGGGGTGAACCCACACCCTCGCTCCCCACCTGGTCTGCCATCCGCAGGAGAAAGCAAAAAAGCAGGAAGAGCTGAAGCAGCTGAAGAACCTGAAAAGGAAGGAGATCCTGGCCAAGCTAGAGAGGCTGCGGCAGGTCACCGGCAATGAGACACTGGGCTTTGAGGAGCGGGACCTCGAGGACGACTTTGACCCTGCCCAGCATGACCAGCTCATGCAGGTGTGGCCCGTGCACCCACCCCAGCTAGGTGGCGCAGCTTGGGACAGGGCTCTGGGATCAGTGCTTCTTTCCTGGCTATGCAGCCTCAGAGAAGTGACTTGACCTCTCCGACCGTGTGTGTCCCTGTCTGTAGAGTGGGGTCAACCATACTGTCCACTTTAGGGCTGTTGTAAGGATAGCCTGAGAGAAAGATGCATAAAAATTGGTGATACTCGAGGAAGACAGGTTGCTGTGTTTCCTTGAAACTTCTTACCATTGATGGTCATTGTTCGGCTTGAGGGGACATAGCAGTAGCATCAGGCCATGGAAACAGGCAATAGAGCGTTATGGGGAAAGCAGTGGGGGCCCCTGGGGCCCCAAAGAGACCCCTGACCAAGCCCAGGAGGTCAGGGAAGGAGACTGAGGATATGTAGGCTTCAGTTTCTCAGTTAAGTGGAGGTAGATTCTGTGTCTCGGGGTGCTTGTGAGAATGCAGTGAGATGCAGCCCAGTGCTGGGCATACAGTAGGCACTTAATAAATGACATAGTTAGTGATATCTGCCTTGCCAGGCGCCCCCAGGGTGCTGGGGTTCCATCAAGTGCCCAACAGTTTCAGCCTTCTTGGAGCTCATGGAATGGCAAGAATCAGTCTGGTAGTCACTGAGCACCAGGTCACTTAGTGGTCCCGGCCTCCCAGAGCTCCCAGTCTAATGGCAGGCCCTTAACTGTGCACTTACAACCCCCAGGCATCAGAGTGCTGATAGGGATGTGCAGGGGTGGTGGGGTCTTAGACGAGACTGGACTTTGTCAGGTGTGGTGGTGAGCAGGTTAGGGCGGTGGCTGAGTCCCGAGCAGCAGTTAGATATGAGGGAGGGAAGGAGGGAGTGGACCCGGCGGGGGGTTGCCCAGGGGCAGAGGTCTGTGGGGAGGGAAAGAACCAGCTCTGGAACAGAATGGTAACCAACACAGCATGGGGGTGCAGGGGCAGGGAGGACACACAGAGTTCCCCTCATGTCAGCAGCTATGTCTGGGGGGTGCTGGGAGCCAGGTAAGGTGTAGGAGTAACACTGTCTTGGGGGAGAGAGCCTGGCTGATCCTCCTGGCCCTGACCCTGACCCTGCAGAGATGTTTTGGGGACGAGTACTATGGCACCACGGAGGAGGAGAAGCCGCAGTTTGAGGAAGAGGCAGGGCTTGAAGGTGAGGTCACCCAGGGCACCGGCCTGGGGGAGCTGCTTGGTCTGAAGTTGCGACTTCCGCCCTGACCCCCTACCTCTGTGTCCTCCGGAATCAGATGACTGGAACTGGGACACGTGGGCTGGGCCTGAGCAGGGTGGAGCTTGGAATGAACAGGAGCTGCACTGCGAGGACCCCGACTTTAATGTAGGTGCCATGGGTGGAGGGGAGACCCGGGGGGGTAGGTGGCCCCCCTCCCTCACCCCCAGAGGGCTGGCCTGACCTCTGCGTCTTGGCAGATGGACGCGGACTATGACCCCAGTCAGCCGCAGAAAAGGCAGCGTGAGGCCCCCTTGACGGGCAAGAAGAAGCGCAAGTCACCGTTTGCCGCGGCCGTGGGGCAGGAGAAGCCAGTGTTCGACCCTGGTGAGGTCCCAGGCCGGTGGCAGTGGGCGGGCAGGGGCTCCAAGGGGCCTGGCAACCCTGGCAGCTTGGCCCCCTCCCTGCACAGGAGACAAGACGTTCGAGGAGTACCTGGACGAGTATTACCGGCTGGACTACGAGGACATCATCGATGACCTGCCCTGTCGTTTCAAGTACCGCACCGTAGTTCCCTGCGACTTCGGGCTGAGCACTGAGGAGGTGGGGTACCATTCTGGGGTAGGGGGCGCCCCCTCGGCAAGAAGAGTGTGTAGTCAGCAGATGCTGCAACTCCCCCCACTCCCTCTTCCGTCATCTTGGAAGGAATGTTAGAGCTAACAACTGTACTGACAAGGTTACCTGCCTCAGCGCTTTGCCCACAGAACAGCCTGCAAATAGTACTTTTACTTCTGTTGCCAAATATCCGCAGTTGGGTGGCTTGGTGGGCTCTGGAGACAGATGGCCTGCATTCAAATCCTGCCATGGCCGCTCACCAGCTGTGACCTAGAAGACTCTGCCTCTGTTTCCCCATCTATAAAATGGGCCTAATAACAGCCCCACTGCAGCCGTAGAGCTGAAATGAACATGTGTGGCTCTTGCGACGGTACTTGCCTGGTAGCCATGGTGGCCGTGGTGGCTTGAATGTTCATGGTCAGCAAAGCCAACATTTATGGAGCTTATACCTTCTGCATTCATTCAATCTTCCCGACAGCCTTTCAGTATTTTCTAAGGGGCTTGCCCGCCTCATAGATGAGGACACTGAGGCCTGAGCTGGGAACCTAGGCCTCATCTGTAATTAGCAGACCTGGTCATTGGCGCAGAGCCCCTTGCCTGTCCTGAGGCTGCTGGGACCATGGTGCCTAAGTGAGGCTCTAGGGCCCCTGGGCCCAAACTGGAATCTGACTTCAGCCACTTCCTGACCACGTGACTGGGGCACGGATCTCCTTGCTGAGCCTGTTTCCCCATCTGATGCCCCCTGCCAAAAACATCCAGTGGCCTTCACAGAGATCAGTCCTTTCCTGCAATGGTGACATCCCTGCCCAGTGGTAATAGCGTTTCCCTGTTTTGACCAGCGAGATGGCTAAAGCTTAGAGAGCCAGGCCCCCTGCACCCCTGACCCAGGGCTCACAGAGCAGGACCCCACCCTCCCTTCCTATGTAGATCCTCGCTGCCGATGACAAGGAGCTGAACCGGTGGTGCTCCCTGAAGAAAACCTGCATGTACAGGTGACATGGCTGGGCCAGGTGTGCCAGGAGGAGGGGCAGGTGGGCGGGCAGGCAAGCAAGCACGGGCACCTCCCAAAGCAGCCGGCGATAGGCGTGTCTGCCGGGCATCCGCAGGTCAGAGCAGGAGGAGCTGCAGGACAAGAGGGCGTACAGCCAGAAGGCCCAGAACTCCTGGAAAAAGAGGCAGATCTTCAAGTCACTTTGCACAGAGGAGTAAGTGTCACTGGCTGGAGGAGGGTGGACTTGGAGCCTGCTGGGCCTGGGTTTGAGTCTTGCTCTGTCAGCCATTTGTTGCATGGCCCTGGGAATGGGGCTTCCTTTCTCAATACCTGGGTTCAAATTCTGGCTGGGCCACAGCTGTGTGGCGTTGGACAAGACGCTTGTCCATTCTGGGCCTGTGTCATTTTTTAAATGCGGGTGGTAGGGGGTAAAGATGGCTTGTTTCTTGTTGGGTTCTTGAGGATTGAGTGAATTAATTTGGGTAAAGTGCTTAAAAAATAGTAAAACCATATAGGTATTAGCGTTATCATCATGCTCAGTACTTCCTAATCTATAAAGCAGGGGTGATAGAAGCCCACGGAGCTGATTTAAAGCTGCAATAAATCAATTTCCACGAACAGCTAAGTATAGGCTCAAGATGCCAGAATTATCAGCAATACAATTGAATCTATGAGTTCAGTAGAAGAGGCCCAGTTTTGGTGTCGGACTTGGGTTTGAACCCCAGGCAGGCTCCTGATTTGCAGCCTTGCCTCTCTGAGCCTCTCCTTTCCTCATTTGTAAGATGGGGGATGTGTACTCAGGAATAAGCCTAATTGTGACCAGCTTGGGCTGAGCCCCCACTTTTCTCCTCAGGACTGAGACACTCACGGAAGCCACAGGGAAGCCACAGAAAGACAAAGCCGGCCCGCAGGGGCAGCTGCTGGCACCTGATGGGGGCTGTGGGCAGCAGCCCCAGCCTGGGAGCCCCCCAGTGCAGGAAGAAGCAAGCCCTGTGCCACACACCCAAAAGCCAGTCCCCCAGGGGCGGAGGAGGGGCAAGAAGGCACGTCTCCTGGGCCCCACTGTGACACTTGGTGGGCATGAGTTTAGCCGCCAGAGACTGCAGGCCTTTGGTCTCAATCCCAAACGGCTGCACTTCCGCCAGCTGGCCCGACAAAGGAGGAAGCACCGGGGTCCCAAGAGTCGCCCCTGAGGTAGCAGGTGGGGGCCCTGGGGTTTCTCCCTTCCAGTCAAGCTCCTGACTGTTTCTCCCTCATGGACTGTGTGGACCCTGTGGGCAGAGAAGGCTTCCTGTCTCACAGATGTGGCAGCTGAGGCCTACCTACCCAGCTTCCTCCAGCATCTCACTTTGAGACACACCTCAGACCCCAGCCATAGCCACAGTCAAGTTAAACGGCTTTATTAGCCCCTGGTGGCCACAGTTCCCCCCGTCACCCCCAGATCTCAGCAGGGTAGGGGTTTTGGGACCAGTGAGGGGCACGGGTGGTCCAGTGCAAACTACAGTACTTGAGTCAGGCCCTGAGTGGGTGTCCGGGAACCCTCCCTCCTCGCCCTGTGAGGAGGCCCAGCTGGCGGGAGGCAGGTGTACAGGCTCTGCCCCAGTTCAGAGGTTTCCTGGACTGGTCTCAGCTGCAGTTGTCAAGGGGTTGATGGGAAAAGGCCCATCACCTCCAGATTTCAAGCTCCCACACCCAGCATGACATAAATAAAAAAATAAATAGTGCGCATCTTCTCCCCCAACCCCACGCGTTATAAAAACACAAAGTCCTCAGAGCTTGGGCGTTTGGCTTTGAGGAGCCGCCCCGTGCGAGGGAGCCGCAGTGTTGGCTGGGAGAGCTGGGAGCAGAGGTCGTCCAGGCTGTGGTCCTGAGCATGGCCTTCAGCCAGGGTGAACATGGGGTAGCGCTCAGTCGCTGAGGAGGAGCTGAGGACCTGGCAGGAGGAAGGAGAGTGGCTTAGCTCCAAACCATATTAATTGTCCTAGAAGTATAATTATCCTAATAGGTATATTTATCAGGTGCCTCCTGAGCTCAACTTTCATCCCTCCAGGGCAATGACCCAGGCCAGCCAATCAGCACCTCCCATTCCCTCGGCCACAGTGACTGGCCAGTGATGGGCGTATGACCCAGCGTGACTGATAAACAGTAACCCTAGGATTTTTGCTGCATCTCCTGGGAAAGTGGGGCTCCCTTTCCACTGAAAAGGAAGGTGGGTGCCCAGAAAGACTGATGGCCCCCTCTTGCAACTACAAGGGTAAAGCCCTGATGGGACAGTAGAGCCAGGAGAAAGGGAGAGGTTCCACCACTTGAGTTCCTGGGTGCAGCTGTCCAAGCAGTGATGTGCCTCGCTTTTTGTTTTACGCCCTTCATTTGGTCTAATTAGCAATAACTGAGCTTTTTTAGCTTGTGGGCAGGATAATAATCTTGGCAGCACTGCCTGCAAGTAGCCTCCCTGGGTCTGCTGGACTCAGGGTCTCTCTGGTCCTCTTCAAGACCCTCCCTGTCCGCTTATCCGCCACCTGCTACCCTCCACCACTCCTTGCTCACCCTGGTCAGCTCTGAGCAGAGTGTCTCGAACTCCTTCTGGTCTCCAGCATAGAACCCCACCGTACAGCTCGGGTCCATCTTGGCAAAGGCCATCTTTCGAGGTGAGGTGCAGTGGAAGGACTGGGGCATAGAAATGAGGCAAGTTTGGAGCCCCAGCCTCCTCCATGTGCCCCAAAAGCCCACCCCGGAGATCCTGCCCCCCACCGGCTCACCTCCAGGGGAAAGTCAGCCTGACTGACATCCACAGTGGGCTGGCAGTAGTGGGGGTCCAGGTAGAGCAGGAAGTCATCTGCAGGAGTGGAGGCATGAGCAGGGCTGGGGAAGGGCAGGGTGGGGCAGGATGGAGCGGGACAGGGTGGGCCTACCCTGGTAGCCGATGAAATACAGTGAATGCCGTGGCTTGCCCCCCATGATGCCCAGGCACAGCTCTGAACGCAGGAGCTCCTGCAGGGAGAAAAGCGGGTAGAGGAGTACACTCCGGGCAGGTGCCGTCAGACAGTCCCTTGGTAAACACGTAGCAAAACCCCGATGTGTGCAAACCCAGCCCTATCTCACGGAGCTGACGTTCTAGTGTAGGAGGTAAACAAGGAACCTGATGAATAAGTTCTGTCACATGTCAGTAGGCGGTAACACTGGGAGAAGAAAAGAGAAGGGAAAAGGCTTTAGAATTTTAAGTAGGGGAGTCAGGAAGGCCTCACTGAGAGGTGTCATCTCAGCGAAGACCTGAAGGAGGATAGAGAGGGAGGGAGGAGTGAATCTCTGGGGAAAGAGCGCTCCAAGCAGAACAGCGAGTGCAAAGGCCCTGAGGCTGCTGTGTTCTGAAAACAGGAGGCTCAAGTGGTTGGGCAGAGTCAAGTGAGAAGGAGAGTGGGGGCAGATGAGGTGAAGGAATGGGCAGGGACACGGTACAAAGCTTTGCAGGCTGTGGGGAGAACTTTGGCCTTCATTCTGAATGAAAACACACTGGAGTTTTTCCAGCCTTGCCCTTCCTTTAGCTGGAACACTGGCTCCTGCCCTGGCTGGCGAGGGGCTTGCCTAGCCTGCAGCCACCCCCATCTGCCCTTCATAGCCTTAGTTTTAGTTCCTCTTGACTCTAAGGTATAATGCCACAGCCATCAGTTTGGTTTCAGATCCACTGTCCTTCCCCCGTTAGAATGTCCACTCCCAGAGGGCACGAATGTTTGCCTGTTCACCGCTGAAACCCAGCAGCTTGGCGTGTAGTAGGTGCTCCCTAACTACCGAGTCAACAGGTGGACAGATGCAGGAAGAAGCAGACACACCTGGCCGGAGCTCAAGGAGCCCCGGCAGTCCCCAGGGGAGGCTTGGCGGAACCTGGCAGACCTTACCTTCACGCAGGGCACGTACACGGGGTTGAGAGTCTCGCCGCCCAGCCGTACTGGCACCAAGATGACCACAGACTTCCACTCAGCTGTGGGGTCGGGCCTGGCCACCAGGCGTGCCACGTCTGCCTTGTACACTGGAAAGGCGGCACAGCCGAGTCACATCCGTACACCCCCATTCAAGCCTCGGAGTGTGGCCCTCTACATGCCTGTGCCACCTCAAAGGGTCCCACTCCTGTTGTCAGCAGAAAGGGAGGTCTTTCTGGTGCCCCATGTACCCCAAACTCCCCCCCACCCCGACAATTCCACGGCCTCTGGGCAGGTGTAGATATCCCTATTTTCCAGAGAGGGCCGCTGAGGCCCTGAGATTTAGATAAAGAACATAAAACTAGGAGGAGACAGAGAGCCTTGTGCACAGCATGGAGCACCTCCCCAGCTCCAGGCCTGATTAGTCTTTACTGACTCAGCGCGTGCATTTGCCAGTATGGAAATAGAGCACCGAGCAGTCGTCCCTGCATGTCCCTCCTCCTCAAGTCCAATCGGCAGGTCTCCATTCTCCCCCTCCTCCCTTACTGCTAGCTAAGCCCCTTCATGGCTCCCAGAAAAGCAGATTCAATCCTTTCTGGAAACACAGCTACTAAGGTCTGAATGCTGGTGTCCCCTTATGTCCTCTCTTCTATCACTTGCAGAGAAGGCCCTAGAGTTTCCTCTACTGGTTCCAGAGGGAATGGAGGGATCCTGGGCACCTCCCACTGTGCGGGCCCCGAATCCCTTCCAAGGCTTCCTCTGCCCCACAACTTGTTTCAGCCTCTGAGGAAGGGAGGTCCTAAGAGGTGGCTGAGTAGCGGCTGGCTCAGGGTGAGAACTCTGTGATCTTGGGTTTCCAGTCTCTTACCTGTGCAGTCCTGAGAAACATACACCACCAGGCGTGTGATCTCTGAGCAGCTCTCCACAGCTTTCCTGGGGGTGAGAGGGAAGGCCTGAGTTCCTGGGGGAACTCAGTGGCTCCCAAGTTCCCTGCAGTGGCCCTCACCTGAGTATGTGTGCCACCAGAGATGGCCCATACCAGTCACCCGCCTTCTTGCCTGAGCTCTGCCCAAGCTCCACCAGCCGGTGTAGCCCAAAGGGAGCCTGGGGGTGGTCGGCGAACCAGGACACTATCTGCCGGTGTCGACGTTCCTGCTCCAGCTCTGGGGTGCCTTGGGCCCAGCGTGGGGGCATCCAGCGTGCAGGCCCATGGTAACGGTTGGGAGAGGCCAACCCTGCTGGCTCAGAGGGGCCCAGGCCTGGGCCCTCAGCCCACGTCCAGTCTGGTGGGGATGGAGTACAAAGTCAAAGGGTGCCAGTGGGCCAGGGGGACACAGTTCCCATTTGCTCATCCCTTATGTACAATTCTAATGCTCCTGAGACCTCAGGTTTACCAACAATTTCCACATTGCTGAAACCTATTTTATCAACTCTCACTCCCCCAAAAAACTTACTCTGCACACAATCTAACATACCTTTAAACTTAGTTTACAAACAATTCAAACACTGCTGCCTGTGTACTTGGTGCCACACTTCTAGGGTGTCCTTCCCTTCCAGCACTCACCCCTGGGCAGGAAATGCAGCAGCAGGCCCTGTGCCAGCATCATCTGCCCGCTGCGCAGCATGCATCCCCAGCCACAGTCTGAGGTCAGACAGCCTCCAGCGAGGGGCGGGAAGTCCCGGCGGTAAGTGAGCCACAAGCGGGACACGAAGTCCCGTTGGAAACGCTGGATGTCACCTACAAGAGCAGACTGGTCAGCTGCCACCAGGAATACCAAGCCTCCCTTGACCCTGGCCTGGGGCCACCAGCTCACCCTCGCCCTCGAAGCGGTAGCGGCGGCCACAGAGGTGGACGCTGGAGATCTTGCTAAAGCTGGTCCGGCTTTTGACTGCCCAACCTGGGGAGACGCGGAGTAGCACCCAGCCAGATGAAGCACTGGCTTGACAGACACGTCACATAACAGTTATGACAGCGACAGCGCTTCCATCCCCCTCGCCTGTGAAATGGAGACCATCCTGGGTCCTATCTCAGGGCTGGCACTGGGCAATTCGGGCCATATTCCTCTCAGATGGAGGCAGGGACCCCTAGGAACAGCCACGTGAGTGTCTGCCATCAATTCAGGATGAATAGAGCAGATCTGATTGTTGTATCCGTTTAACAAAGGGGGAAAATGAAGGCACAGAGCAGCATGAAAACCTTGCCCAAGGTCACACGGGAATGGACGAGGCTTGAAAAAACACATTCCTTTTCGGACCTGCTGCAGGTGCGCCCGGGGCGGGCCGGGCAGGGCGGGGGACCCGCAGGTGACTCACGGGGGGAGCGCAAATGGTGGGACTGTGGGCGGAGCCGGGTCGACCTCCGAGCCCCGCCCGGCCGAACCCTCGGAACACAACCCCCGGGCCCGCCCCCTCCTCACCGTACTTGACGTTGTTCCAGGCCGTCAGGAACTTCGCCTTAAACTTGTCCACTTCGTCCGGCTCCCCAGGGGCGGCCGCGGGCGAGCCAAGGGCGGGGCCGCTGGCTCCAGAGGGCCTCGGGCCGTTGGGGTCCGGGACTCGGGGACCCCGCGGCCTGCGGCCCTCGGGGCGGCGCGCGTCCTCCGGGCTCCCGCTCCGGTACTGCGCGGCGGCCGGCGACACGGAGTTCATGAGCGCGCCGGGAGGGCGGACCGAGGGCCCGGGGCGGGGGCGCCGCGGCGCCCGGAAGGCGCTAGTCGGCCCCGGACGCGGCGGCCAGGCCCCCGAGCCCCGCGCGGGACGCTGTCACCGCCGCCGCCGCCATTTTGGCGGCCCTGGCCCCGGGAGCCCAGGCGGGCGCGACACGGCCTGACGCCCCGCCCCGCCCGGCCCGGCCCCAGCCTGGGTCGCCGGCCCCGGTTCCGGGTGGCCGCGCCGGGACCTTCGGCCGCGGCGCCTCCCCGCGGCGCCCCACGAGCACGCCCGGCCACCCTATCGCGGCGCCCAGGCGCGCCCGAGCCCACCCCCCGCCCCCCTCCGCAGGCCCTTATCGGAGGCCCCAGAGCCGGGAGGCCCCGCCCCCGCCCGCCCAGGCCCCGCCCCCAGCCCCGCCCAGGCCCCGCCCCCCAGCCCCGCCCCCGGGCGCCGCGCTGGGCAACGGGGCCAGGGGGTGGCGCCGCGCGTGTGTGCACCTGCCGGTGGCCCGCCCGCCCGAGCGCCCCTCGGCGGCCGGCGCGCCCGGGACTCGCCTGGCTCTGGGGCCGGGCCTGTGTGACACCTCCTCCTCCTCACGCCCGCACCCCCACCCCGGGCCCTCGGTCCGCCCTCCCGGCGGACCTCTCTCTGTGCCTCAGTTTCCTAAGGAGCAGAAGGGGCTCAAACACAACACAGACGAATCTTCGTGATCATTCTGCGGAGGCAAAGAGGCCAGATTAAAAAAGAGTATATACCCTTTCTGGTCTCGTGTACCTAAAACTCCAGAAAATGCAGTCTCATCTCTGATCAGTTTCGGGGTGTCTGGGGGTGGGGTGGGGAGACGCTAGAGGGAGGGATTAAAAAAAAAGGCTAGAATATACTTTTCGAGGTGGTGGAAATGTTTAGAATCTTGATGGTGGTGCTGGTTTCCAGGATATGAAAACTCATCGGATTGTACACTCGAAATGTGTGTGGTTTGTTGTATGTCAGTTATACTTCAATAAAGCTGTAAAAAAAAATGTTCATTGCGTCTGACTCAGGAATGTTAGGAAGACGAGCTGAGCTCATCCGGGTAAAGGGCTTTAGGATGGCATTTGAGGCACAGTCAGGGCTCAGAAAAAAACCGACCACAACCTCAAAGGCGAGTGACAGTGTAGCCACCCTGTGAATGGCAGAGAGGATGGCCCCTAATGGCCAGCCCAAAGGCACTATCCTCAGCCCACTAAAGGAAATAGGATGAGGATTCGGATAAGAGTGTGGGATGTGAACAAGGCTCAAAAAGACAGTCACCTCCCTGGCTTTCCCTCCATTCTCCCCTCACTGCACCTCCCTGCAGCCACACCTGTCTCCCTTCTCAAACCCAACATGTGCAATCCCACCCCAGGACCTTTGCTCTTACAGTTCCCCCTGCCTGCCTAGCTCTCTCCATCCTTGAGATGTCTGCATGGCTGGCTCCTCCTGGACGTCCTTCAGGAATTTATTCAAATGTCATTCCCGCAGGCTGACGGTGCTCAAAATCCACCCCACCCCCACCTTTGAGCTCCTTTTCTGGTCCCTGTTTTTTTTCCCCCCCCCAGAGCAGTTACCACAACCTGATTGAGTCAGCTCAGGCTGCTGTAAAAATACTGCAGACTGGGTGGCTTAAACAACAAACATTTCTTTCTCATGATCCTGGAGGGTGGAAGCGTGAGATCAGGGTGCCAGGACAGCCAAGATCTTGGTGAGGGCCCTGCTCCTGCTTATGTCCTCACATGGCCTTTCTCTGGTGTATGCAGGCAGAGAAAGAGAGAGAGAGAGAGCTCCTGTCTCTTCCTCTTGGCATTAACCCCATCACGGAGTCTCCAGCCCCATAACTTCATCTAATCACTGATCATCTCCCAAAGGCCCTGCCTCCTCATCCATCACACAGGGTGGTATGGGGGGATTGGGGATGTGAGGGGGATAGGGGGGCTTAGGTTTCAATATATGCCCTTTGGGGGAACACAAACATTCAGACCAGAGCACAGATCATAAAAGTATATAACCTCTGTCCTCACCACATCAAGAGGCCAGGGGACTCTGTCCATCTTGGTCACTGTTGGCTACTCACACTCAGCATGTGGCCTGCATGTACACAGTAGGTGCTCAACAACACAGTAAGTGCAACAAATAACATGTGGAACAGAAAGGGGAACTTGTTGCAAGGGACAGATGGTTTGGGGGGACACAGGCGACCTCTTTTGTTTGATCTGGTGGCTGACCACCCCTCCCTGGTCAAGCTGGTTCGTTGGGGTGGGGCCCTGGATTCCTTGCCTTCACCCCCCTTGCCAATGAATGAGCACAACCACATCATCTCACTACCTGGGTCTCCAGTGCCAGACTGGAGTCCAGCCTATAGGTGTCCCCCTTGGAATGTTCCTCAGGCTCCCCAGGTGCAGTATGCCCCTAATTGATCCTGCATTTCAGCCCCACTGGCCTTTCCTCCCACAGCCTTGCCCCATCCCCACCCCCACCCCCTGGCCTCCCTCACCTCCCTTACCAGAGTCTGTCTGTCCACAGTTGTCCTCATACTCCCTAAGCAGCACAACAGTCATGGCCACCTAGGCAGACGCTGCAGCCAGGCCTCTCTACACCTCAGTTTTGTCATCTGCCAAATGGGCTTAGTAATAGTGCCTCATTCCTAGGGTTTGGAAGAAGGATGAAAAGAATACACAGAACACTAAGAACAGGGCCACGCTCACACCAGCCACCACTTCACTGTGAAGTGTTGCTATTGACATTCTTTTTTTTTTTTAATGGTTTTATTTTATTTATTTGTTAGAGAGAGAGAAAGAAAATGTAATGTGGTGGGGAGGGGCAGAGGGAGAGGGACAAGCAGATGCCCCACTGAGCAGGGGCTTGATCCCAGGATCCTGAGATCATGACCTGAGCCAAAGACAGATGCTTAACAGGTGCCCCCTCCCCACCGCTATTAACATTGTTAGTCACCACCGCCCTCTCATTCTGGCCCCCATCAGTAGCGGCTGGCTGCCAACTCTGATGCCTCTAATCCACATAACAGCTGGAAGAACCTATTTATCAAGCTATTTATTTTTTCTTTTTTTAGAGAGGAAGGGGGAGAAGCAGAGGGAGAAGGAGAGAGACAATCCCAAGCAGGCTCACACCCAGCTTGGAGCCTGAGGCAGGGCTTGATCTCACAACCCTGAGATCATGACCTGAGCTGAAATAAAAAATTGGATGCTTAACAGACTGAGCCACCCAAGTGTCCCATCAAGTTATTTTTATGGACAGTTTCTGAATGCCAAAAAAAAAAAACCCTAAAGCAGCACTGTTCAGTAGATACATGAGATATAATATTAGAAATTCTAGTAGCTATGTTAGAAAAATACAATCATGGGACGCCTGGGTGGCTCAGTGGTGGAGTGCCTGCCTTTGGCCCAGGACATGATCCTGGAGACCCGGGATCGAGTCCCACATGGGGCTCCCTGAGTGGAGCCTGCTTCTCTCTCTGCCTGTGTGTCTCTGCCTCTCTGTGTGTGTGTCTCTCTCAGAAATAAAATCTTTATTTAAAAAAAAAGAAAGAAAAATACAATCTAATTAGAAAATGGGCAGAGGAGCGGGTGCCTGGGTGGCTCAGTGGTTGAGGCATCTGTCTGCCTTTGGCTTAGGGAGTGATCCTGGGGTCCTGGGATCGAGTCCTGCATCAGGCTCCCCACAGGGAGCCTGCTTCTCCCTCTGCCTGTGTCTCTGCCTCTCTCTCTGTGCCTCTCACGAATAAGTAAAATCTCTTTTAAAAAATATAAATGAATAAATAAATAAATAAACAAACAAATAAAATCTTTAAACAATAATAAGGAATCTTTAGGAAAAAAGGCCTGAACAACAAAGACAGAAGAGAACAAAACAAAATGAGCTCATAGATACAGAGAACAGATTGGTAATTGCCACAGGCAAGGGATGAGGGTGGGGAAATGTGTAGAGGGAGTCAAATGGTACAAAATTCCAGTTATAAAATAAATAAGTCCTGGGGCGCCTGGGTGGCTTAGTTGGTTAAGTGTCTGCCTTCCGCTTGAATCATGATGTCAGGGTCCTGGGATCCGGTGGTGTTGGGCTCCTTGCTCAGCGGGGAGCCTGCTTCTCCCTCTCCCTCTGCCCCTCCCCCTGCCCGTGCTCTCTCTCACGCTCTCTCTCTCTCAAATAAATAAATACAACCTTAAAAAAGAAAAGATAAATAAATCCTGGGGATGTGATGTACAGCATGGTTGCTATAGTTAACAATACTGTATTATATATTTCAAAGTTGCTGAGAGAATGGATCTTAAAAGGTCTCATCAGGACACCTGGGTGGCTCAGCAGTTGAGCACCTGCCTTTGGCTCAGGTCATGATTCTGGGGTCCCGGGATCGAGTCCCGCATCGGGCTCCCTGCAGGGAACTTGCTTCTCCGTCTGCCTGTGTCTGCCACTCCCCCTACTTGTGCTCTCTCTCTGTGTCAAATAAATAGATCAAGCCTTTAAAAACTAAAGATTAATTAATTAAAAAAAGAAAAAGAAAAGACAGAGACATAGACACCGGGAGGAAGGTCAAGGGACCATGGCAGTAGACATGGGAGTTATTTACCTACGAAACAAAGACCCCAGTTGCCACCAGATGCTGGGCAAGAGGCAAGGAAGGAGTCTCTTCTGGCCCCCAGCGACTTCGGAGAGAGCATGGCCCTGCTGACACCATGACTTTGGACTCTAGCTTCCAGAATCGTTTCCGTTTTCTTTTTTTTTTTTTTTTTCCCGTTTCCGTTTCAAGCCACTTCTTTGCTGTAATTTATTACGGCAGCCGTGGGAAACTAACATTGCCTGTGGTGCCTCCACCCTTCAGGCCTCAGCTTGTCCATCATCTGCTCTGAGGCCTGTCCTGACCTCCACAGGGCTAGGGCAGGGCCCCATTTTTTTTTTTTTTTTTTTTTTTAGATTTTATTTATTTGACAGAGAAAGAGGGAAAGAGAGAGAAAATGAGCACAAGCAAGGAGAGTGGCAAGCAGACAGAGGGAGAAGCTGCTGAGCAGGGAGCCCCATGCGGGGTGCAATTGCAGGACCCCAGGATCATGGCCTGAGCTAAAGGTAGATGCTTAAGCTGACTGAGCCACCCAGGTGCCCTACCTGTCTTTTTTTTTTTTTTTTTTTAAGATTTATTTTAGAGAGAGAGCAAGTGAGAAGATGGGGCAAGGGGTAGAGGGAGAGAGAGACTCTCAAGCAGATTCCCTGTTGAGACGGAGCCCAACTCAGGGCTCAACCTCATGATCCTGAGATCACAACCTGAGCCAAAATCGAGTCCAACACTTAACTCACTGAGCCACCCAGGCACCCCCCTGCCTTTATCTGTCTCAAGTACTTCACACTCAGCACTACGCTATAAGGTAGGTGCACTTCTTCCCTCTTTACAGATGAGGAAGGAGAGGCTCAGGTATGGAGGTCATACAGCAGGGGAGCTACTCTTATCCCCAGTGATAATCTTCATAGCCACCATGCATTTTAAACTTAGCAAGGACACCTGGGTTGCTCAGCAGTTGAATCTGCCTTCAGCTCAGGGTGTGATCCCGGGGTCCTGGGATCCAGTCCTGCCTCAGGGTCCCAGCAGGGAGCCTGCTTCTCCCTCTGCCTGTGTCTCTGCCTCTCTCTCTCTTTCTGTTTCTCATGAATAAATAAATAAAATCTTAAATAAAAAATAAAAACTCGGGATCCCTGGGTGGCGCAGCGGTTTGGTGCCTGCCTTTGGCCCAGGGCGCGATCCTGGAGACCCGGGATCGAATCCCACGTCGGGCTCCCGGTGCATGGAGCCTGCTTCTCCCTCTGTCTGTGTCTCTGCCTCTCTCTCTCTCTCTCTCTGTGACTATCATAAATAATAAGAAAAAAATTTTAAAAAAATTAAAACTTAGCAACCCAATAAAAACACTGGCAAAAAGCTTTGAATAGACTTCACAAAAGGAGATAAATGGGAGTGCTGTGGTGGCTCAGTCGGTTGACCAACTGCCTTCAGCTTACATCATGATCTTCGGGTCCTGGGATCAAGCCCCACATCGGGCTCCCTGCTCAGCAGGGAGTCTGCTTCTCCCTCTGCCTCTTTTTCTCCTCCTCCCCACTGCTTGTGCTCAAGCTCTGTGTCTTTCAAATAATAAATAAATAAAATGTTTTTTTACAGAAATAAATGGATGCCAAATAAGCACGCAAAATATTCTCAACATCATCAGCCATCAGGGAAATGCAAAACAGCGTGACACCACTTCAGACCCACCAGAACAGCTAAAATGAAAGAAATGAAAGCCCATTCTGGGCAGCCCTGGTGGCTCAGCGGTTTAGCGCCGCCTTCAGCCCAGGGTGTGATCCTGGAGACCCGGGATCGAGTCCCACGTTGGGCTCCCTGGATGGGGCCTGCTTCTCCCTCTGCCTGTGTCTCTGCCTCTATATCTCTCTCTCTCTGTGTGTCTCTCATGAATAAATAAATAAAGTCTTAGAAAAAAAAGAATAGAAAGCCCATGCCCAGTGCTGGAGAAGTTGTGGAAGAACTGCAATGTTGGAAGTACATGCAGTTTGTCGTATGTCAGCGATAGCTCATTAAGGTCGAAGGAACAAAGTGGTGTGCTAACGTGAGGGAACAGATGCAAAATTGCACTTGAGTGGAATTCAGGAAGGTAGGATCCTCTTCTGGTGACTGTATCTTGGCATCAGTGCATGAATTTTCTCCTGGGTCTCTCAGCAGTTCCAAGAATGCCTCTGTGCCTCTCCACCCCATTGCCAGGCTCCTTACTGAAATACATCAGGCCCTGGAAATCCCTCCCAGGCTGAGCCATTGCTAGAATAAATTACACACTCTTGAAGAAAACTAAATATGAAGATAGATGCTTCCTCACCATCAACCACTCTCCTGGTCAAACTGCCTTTGCTTCCTTGAGGCATCATATGCTGCCTCTCACACCTCTATTACGTCAAGAGTTGTGTGAAAAAATGCTCCAGAAATAAGTTCTGCTCATTGCTACCTTTTTGGCAGAAAGGACTCTTCTTCCATTCAGCAAATGTATCCTGAACATCTACTCTGGGCCAGGCTCTGTCCTGGGTTCAGGGCTGTAGCACTGGGTGACCCAAATACCATTCTCTCTTGGGGTCTTGGGAGTGGGTTGCAGGAGTTGGATGATGAGCTCATTACACAAATAATTTCACAGTTATGATTACGGCAAGGGTCATGTGGGAAAATACAAGCTGACAACAGGGGGAAGTAAGCTAGTTTAGCAGCTGTGATCCAGGAGGACTTCTCTGAGGAAGCCAGATTGAAGGTGGATTCTATGTTAGCATAAGTCAAGTTTTGGTGCAGTAACAAACAAGTCACAAACACAGTTTATTTCTCCCTTGTGTTACTCATCCTTTACCGGCTGACAGGGGCTCAGCTCCACACAGTCACCCAGGGGCTCAGGCTGATGAGGCAACCCACCATCTTGTGGCTGCATCATGTTGAACTCACTGCCACAGAGAGACAAGAAGGAGACTAGAGAAGTGCTTATGAGCTTTCCGATGCCTCTTCTCAGAAGTGACTGACATACAGAGATGCCTGGGTGACTCAGTGGTTGAGCATCTGCCTTTGGCTCAGGTCGTGACTCCAGGGTCCTGGGATCGAGTCCCACATCGGGCTCCCTGCAC